TCTTAGACCTCTGAACAAGTTCGCGCACAAGTGACAGCCTACTCAGTTCACTCAATGTCACTCAGGTGTGATTGAAACTCGCCATAACGGTTTAGGGTTTAGGGCTTACATGACCTGCCACAGCCCTGCCATGCGCTCTGGAGCATTTCCTGCACTCATTTGGGCACAAGCTTCGAGTAGAGCCAGGTAAAGGCCGTGATGTATCCTGGGCCATGAACTATTCCAAGTTTCGGCCCTGGCTTGGTTTTGGGTTTCTTGGGACCGCCAGACTTTGCCGAGGTGAAGTCGGCACAATACGGTAGAACGATAGATTTGAGGCATCGAGCTCGTAGCAATCGCAACATTAGGGTTTAGGGTTTCTCGGTTTCTCGTTTAGGATTTAGGGTTTAGGGGGCTTCTCGGCTTTGCCTGTGGAGACTTGTATATTCTCTCGGCTGCAAGATGCTCGCCTCGGCCGATCACGAGGACCCAATCGCCCAGTGGGGCCGCCACGGGAGCCAGGAGTCGTAGTGCCTGCGCGAGCAGCGGCGTGGAGGACCTTGGTGGAGGGATTGGGATATGATTAGTTTTCTGCATCAGACCCTGTTAGGGTCCTTTGTATAAGGGTGCCATACTATTTTCGGAACCTCAAAAACGACCCTCATTTACAGGACTACCCATATCGGGTTGGGGAATCGAGAGGGCGGGGACGACTACGATTTCCGATGACGTTTTCAACAGTACTAAACCAGGTGCTAATAGTGGTAATATTAATAATCATAAACACATAGAATTATAACATAAACGTCCTCGTAGTCGCACCAAGAAAAGCAGCATCAACAGTAGTACCGGTAGCGATGCAGCAACAACTACGATAATGAAAGCAATAGAAAACAAAAAACTAACACTATGGCTACTACTGATTTGGTTCATACCTCAAGACCCATCATACTACTGATTTGTTACCTTAAAACCGTACCGAGAAGCAAAAAATACGGTGCTTTTTTTGCAGACCGTGCAGCTCGGCCATTTCCGCAGCAGACTCGAGGAGCCGCTCCAGTCGGCTGTGTGGAGGTTTCGTAGGGGCGCCCTTTCAGGGGTTCTAGTTCTAGGCTTCAAGGCCCAGAAGTTTAGGGTTTAGGGCTTTCGGGGCTTCGGCTTTAGGGTTTTGGGGTTTAGGGGTTTGGGGCATTTTCGGGTTTCGGGGTCAGCTCCAAAGCGTTCTTTGAAAGCTAGAAGAGTTTGCGGGTGATTGCTGGTTGGGGGCTTTGGGAAAAAGACTTCTAAGTTCAAGAACTGTTCAGCAATTATGTCTAACCATGTCTAATGTTGGATGCTGGGCTTAGGGTTTGGCCGTATCTTGAGCCTTAATGTGCGTCCAAGACCCGTATTTATGAGGGGTTCAGTACTTGTCCACACGCTTAGCAACAGTCCAGTCATTTTGCAGCTTTCGTCATTTTTGCTCATTCTGCCTGAACCCTCAACCATTATGACTCAATGGCTTAACGACAGTGTCGTTTTGCCTCGCAGTGATAAAGGGCCGCTGACACACTACCCTTATAAGATCCTAAACCCTACTGAACCCATATAGTACCCTTATAAGATACCTTCTGGTTCTGTTCCGAGGCTGCCCTGCATACCGTCGACTCGCCTTCACCTCCTTTCCTGGCGCCGGGGGTGCGGCTGAGAGCCTGTCAGGAAGAGCCACTAGCTTCCACTGGGGCTTAGAACGATTGAGGTGCAGATCTTGAGAGGAAAAAGGGAACCGTTTGGGATGTAAGGCATGCAGCTAGATCTCGCCCAGACTTTATTCCCACAGCCCCCCCCGCCCCAATCTTCTTTGCCGAAAAAGAAACACCCCTAGTACCCTTAGTCCCAAAAGCCACAAGAGCTAACAAAGACCCCCGAAACTTCGCAAATCCCCACTTCCAGATCAGCCTTAAACAAAAAGCAGAACAACATAGAACTCACAACAAATCGGACGCGATTTTGTTCTGTAAGCGCTATCCTTTACTTCTCGGTCGTTCACTGGCGGCAGCTACTCCGCCGGAGCTGACTCCGTCAAGAACTGAATCATCAGCTTCAAAGTCAAAGTATCAGCCAAGATGACCCGAAAATCTTAAACCCAAGCCAGGCAACAGCGTTGGATGCATGGTTGCAGATTGCGACTGCAAGTGCTTGTCGCCTCAAGCCAGAAAGCCGCCGCTTCTGCGCTCTTGAAGAACCACAGTTGAGGGTTGAACTGCAATTCCTGAAGTAGCAACTGTGGCAACCATTACTGAAAAATGCTGACTACTTTTGCTGCTGCTGCTGCTACTACTACTACTACGACGACGACGACGACTACTACGACTATGTCCGCGACTACGACGACGACGACCGACGACGACGACGACCACGACGACTACGACTACGACTACGAGGACCAGTACGACAACTACGACGACTGCGGCTGCGAAAACGACTACGACCAGCAGCAGCAGCAGCAGCAGCAGCAGCAGCACCACCACCACCACCACCACCACCACCACCAGCACCAACCGTATTGCTGCTGCCAGCGCCAATATTGCGACTGCTGCGACTGTAATGACTAGACCATGAACATGAAGAGATGAGGATGCGAATGACCACGAGTAGGAGCAGGATGATGATGGATGATGATGAGGAAGATGATGATGATGGTGATGGTAATGGTGTTGATGATGACGATGGTGATGATGATGATGGTGGTGATGATGATGATGATGGTGATGATGATGATGATGATGATGATGTTGATGGTGATGTTGCTGATGATGATGATGATGATGATGATGATGATGATGACGAGGATGATGATGATGATGATGATGATGACGACGACGAGAATGATGATGACGACGACGAGCATGATGATGATGATGATGATGATGATGATTATGATGATGATTATGATTATGATGATGATGATGATGACGATGACGATGATGATGATGATGGTCATGATGCTGATGATGATCTTGAAGACGATATCGTCCGTGTCCACAATGATCATGGACTGGCGCTTGTGCTGGCTGCTGGTATGGTGATGGTACTGATGCCCGTGCTGTAACACAGCTGCTGGTACAAGTTTCATATGCCTCCGCTCGGTCTCTGGTGGTCGTGCCCACGACCTCGAAGCAGGCAAGCGACTCATGTGTCGCTAAGCCCTCAGGGGTTCCGAATGGGGACCCATGTCTTTGAAGCTACCAAGACACGGACTATCACGAATACTTCGATTTTCAGTGCTGCTCGGTGGTCTTTGGACTGCGCTCTTTGCGCCAAGACTCGAAAACCAGAACGATACGGAATCTGAGACCAGGCCAACCCTCATTGGCATCTGGGAAGAAGCTTCACATATCGTAACGCAAGTCCAGCGACGGCCTGCAGATTTTTGTTCGTTGCCATGATGTCGGCCAGCCCCTGAGCACAAAACACGAGACTAAACAAACGTAAACCCTGAGTCCAACCCGTAAACCCCTAAACTCAATGCTCCCAACTCCGCTCCGTGAAGCCTTCCTGCCTTGCTCCCTTCATTTGCCCCGTTATGGCCTGCGGATTGCGCAGAATGATCGTGGCTGGGCCTCAAGGACATTGCTGATGGCATCAAGCAGCTTCAACACACGATCGTGGTGATGGATTGAGCTGGGGACAGGAAGTTGAATTGGACTGTCCCATCTGACCGCTCGACTACTCGAATTGAACGGTGACGTGGCTGTCTCGCCGGAGGCTTGCAAGAATGGATGGACCTGTCGAACTGAAGGTGATCTCTTAAAGGTGTCGTCTTTCTGGGCTTCTTCGACTCATGGCTTTCTGCGGGTTTGCAGGATCTTCCCAGAAGAGCATCCTCGAGAAGCAGTGACCCTTCAGAACGCGTCCCTGAAATCAGGTGCCCGCGGCCCGGAGCTCGTCACCTTGTATCATCCAAACGAGCAGCATAACCAGATGCTGTATACTTGAAACACCAATGCTGAGAACTATGATTGCGACCTGAAGCAAAAAAGAACAATGATGTCGACAGCATCCGTAGCTTCAGGGTACGCAAGAGATCTCAGAAGATCGGCCTCCGATTTCGAGTCTGCCGGGCTCCCCGCGCTTGGTGGTGGTGGTGGTGGTGGTGGTGGCCATGGTGCCCTCCAGAGGAGGATGGCGAGGCCGGTGGCTGACCTGGAAGCCCCACAAGCTCCCGAAAACCACAGCCTGCTCAGAAAAGCTTTGCTGCACAAATCGATTTCGCAGACCGACGACCTCACACCGTCAAAAATCCTTCTCTTCTAAACCCTGTTGCATTCGATCGCCAGAGCCAGGGCACTCTTTGCAGCACCGGTGTAGTGTTCAGGTGGCATGCGCCATCTGAGCTCCGCGGCGAAGAGTTTCAGCAATGCTACTGGTAGGGATAACATCAAAACACGGCTCTGCATAGCCCGAGTAATGGAGGGAAACATCGTGCCTCTACTGCCCTCGATTTGTCGGCATCATGTGTACTCTTAACCTTTTTAACCTCAGAGCTCAAACCCTGCAGGGAAGTTCGAGCTGTTGGTACGGTCGAGTCACTTGCTTCGTGCTACGACAACTCAGGCCCGGCTATTGCTCCTCAATTAGCACTGGCATGTGCCTTAAGCAGGCTTACTCCTAACCTCCAGGCTAGTACCCCGGTTCGGACGGGCCACATACCATCTTTGCCATGAACAGGCAGTAGGGGTCGCCGCCGATCCGACACGCCAGGCGTTCCACCAAGCATGAGTCGGCGACTTGTCTATGCAGATTCCGCTGCAGAGTCTTGCAATGTCGCAGCATGGTCTAGAATGCAACTTTGAGAAGCTTCTCTGATGAGGCTACTTGATCTCGCAGCAACTGATCCAGTGAGCCGGCAACGCTTTTACATGAACACCTGTCAGGTCGAGTTTGCGCATCAGCTTCTGCCACGCAAGTCATGTCGCGCTGCTCTCGTCCTTAGGCGAGTGGCCCCAGACTTTGGGCAATCTCCCTGAGTGCAGACGGTCCTGGCGTCGCATTTCCTGCATCGATCGCCATCACTGGTACCAGCTGCGTGCCAGTCGCGACCCACAAACCTAACCCTGCAACGTAGCCTTCAGTCGCCTCCAACTTCTCTTCGCTGCACCAAACTGATACGGCTTGGCATTGCTAACGCAGGGCATGGGAAAACCACTGCAAGCTGCTTGACGGATCTCACAATGCCACCTGTCGCAGCGTCTCCATGGAAAGGCGAAGTTCTGCAAGCTGTGCTGCACCGGCGAAACCTACAGCATTGCTTGAAGTCTTGCAAAACCTGATGGATTCCCCAACCTGCCAAAGCTGAACGACCATTTCGTCAGAACTGCAAACCATCGTAATACTGCGTACAGAGAAGCTAGACAAGACAAGCTCATCGTAGAAACGTGTGAAACCCTTTGCATCCGGCTCCTGTCAGACCTTGAAGCGAAGCTTGCTGACTTGTTTCACGAGTCTAACCTACGATAATACCCAAAACCCGCAGCACAAACCGGGCAAATGCGAACTGGTGCTGCCAGACATCTACCATTTGATGGGTAGCCGGGGCCTGCACTCGAATCGAGAGTTTGCGATGCAGTGGGCACAGAGACGGCCGGTGGTCCTGAATTCGCAAATGCCGTTGGTCATGATAAGCTACCAAACTGACTTCTTGGATGATCTTTTGATCTTGCGGCAATACTACCTGTCTTATCCAGAATGATACTGTTGCTTTTCCTGCTGCTACGAAAGTCACAGATGTACCGCCCGTTGTGGCTACTATGATGACTAGCCGATATCGTCACCAGCAGCATGTTCGGTCCTGTTGCTGCCCCTGCGGCTGCTGCTGCTGCGGCTGTTCCTGCTGCCCTGCTGGTGCTACGGCTATTTTCCATGCACCTGCTAATTACGACTACTACTACTACTACTACTACTACTACTACTACGACTACGACTACTACTACTACTACTACTACTACTACTACTGCTACTACTACATTTGCCGCCGCAGCTGTTGTTGCTCTTCTTGTTGCTTGCTGCAACGGTAGGCCTTGGCACTTTAGAGAGGCTCCAGCTGCTTTTAAATTTAAGTCACGATAAGGATGGTCACAATTGCTTGGGTGGTGTTGGTGGCATGAGGGAGATCATTGTCGTTCTGCTGCCGGGTATTGCTGCCGTCAGCATGGCTGCGTCCAGCACTCCGGAGAACCCATTCCCAAGTAGCTTAGAACAAATTGCCCAGGGAGCTTCGCTGAAACTCCGAAATCCTGCACGGGTCCTTCGGCAACATCCGAGAAGAGCAAGAGGGCCATCAGACCGAGAGGCACCTGGAATGATCCTTTTTCACTGGAATACAAGCCCTGAATAGCAAAGGGCCTTTTCAGCACAGCCAAATGAGGGACCCCTAGCTTTAAGAGGCCCTTACGGTGCCCAACAGCTCAGCTTCTGAACAGTTCGTGAATCGCAACAGCAGTAACATGCCGGGAATCGAAGTGGCCACCTTTTGGTCGATGGCATCTCGTTGACCAAACTTCTCACTTATCAACTGCACCAAAGCCACCATCCCCGTGACAGCGGCGCAAAAGGCCTCACGTCAGCCACGATGGAGATCGAAGTGAGGTTTCTTGCATCTGACTACTCCACTACCGGATTGAAGGTTTCGCACTAGTCAGGCTTCCGCAATTCAACAACCCTTTTGTGTTTAGGATCTCTCAATCATGCCTCTATCAGGGCTCAGGCCTTGGATCCATCGGGGCAGTCACACTAACACTAGTGACGAAATGTGCAATCGAACATGGCAAAAACAATGGCAGCACTGGCAGAGTAACAGCAACGATTCCGAAACTATAGGTAGTGGTACTGGTAGCATGAGGAACAGTGGTGGCAGTGGTGGCAGGCGGACGAGCAAGCATGATGAGAACGAAGATTCACGACGGCATGCGAACTCTCTGAGCCGCTGTCATCACATGAGTAACAATGACAAACAAAATTGACGGGGAGGCAGCGGATCCCAAGAAGCCTGGGGATGAGTCCACTTTGGAGGCTGACAGAGGCAATCTTTCAGATCTGCGAAGTCTTCTTCCAAGACACAACTCGGCTTCTGACAAGATGCCAGGTTTTTTTCCATCGTTACTGAAGGCACAACAAACTCGTTCGTTGAACTCCTATACTTCCGAAAAAAACAAATCACATCAAGGCTAGTGGGTCTACGGCTACGTCGACCGAGTCGCTTCAGGCACCCAACACATACGATCGATCGAAACCAGGTGCCCGACTGCAATCGGAAGATTCAGGCGCCTTGCAATGCCAAGGCAGAGGCCAAGGTGCACGAGAGAGCTTAGGGCCTGGTGCCGCTTCGGAAGAGACCAGATATTGAGCGAGCAGCTACAGCGCAATCCCAGCCCTGTGCAAACCCAAGAACGACAGGCTGTCACAGAGCACCATGCTGGGTGGGAGCGCACTAGGCATCCCAGGGACCTCAACAAATTCGCGAGATTGTAAAGGAAACAAGCGCGAGCACGATTTCCCCAAAGCCAACGAGCCTCCAGGAGCCGACAGTGCTAAAACTCCAGTGACTTCGAGTGCTATGAGAGCCAGGATGAAGATGAGATCTGCCGAGGGAGCACAAACCCTACGACTCTATTCCTTAATTGCTGCTACACAGGACTTTGCCAAGAATTGCCCGAAAGTGCGCACGCCGCCACAGCTGTAACCACAGGAACACCGTGGTCATACCGCGAAGAATAAAGGCAGCAGAAACGGAGATTGAAAGGCACGGTAACATTCGGCAAAGCCACGTTTAAAGCCACGTTTAAATACCCAGCCGGTACCTGTCACCTTTGGGCCCGCAGAGCAAGCTGTCAGCTGAGGCGAATATTGGAGTCGTCGGTCGCGAACCCGAACTGCCCTGCGCGAAACAGGCAAAGCCTCACCGGTGCCTTCCTTGCCTTCCTTGTCTTTTCTTTCCGCAGTAGTGGACAATTTGTCGAGCATCCGTTGCTTAAGAAACGCTCTCTGAGAGCAGCGATTACTTCGAGACTTGCTCTTGCATAGTCCTCGTGTACCCTCCGTGGACCTTCCGAGGACCAGGGCCTCCACCCATAGGCCACCCTCAAACATGGCTGGTCTCGGTCCCTTCCCTGCCTGAGTCTTTCGAATCGCTTCGGGCCAGGCGTTGAAGGACCCATGCTCGGAGGAGCCTCCTTTCATGAGCTTAGGGTGCCTTGGCTTCTACTGTTTGGCTATCGAGCTAGGGCAGCTTGGGGACATTGGAACCCTCAGCTCCGACCAGTCTGTAAAACTAGATGCGGGTTTTTGCACTCGACCCGGGAACACGGAAGAAGGCCGCGAATGGCTTCCTTGGTCGCCTCCCCAGTCAGGACGTTGCGACGGCGCAGCTCCTGTCCAAGAGTCACAATTTCAAAGCACAACATAAGCCAGCAAGAGTGTTCACAACTATCGACCAAGAATGTCTCAAATGTCTACACCGATGCCTGGTCGTTCCATTCACGGCAATCACGTGCGCGACGCCTCGGTATTCAACCGGAAAGCTACATGGGACAACAAACCGACGTTTCGAGAAGGACTCTTCCTTCACAACACTCTGATTCCGATCCCTTCTTTATGTCTCGGAGGAAGTTGTCCTTTCGTTTGCTAGCGTCCCGCTACAGACAATCCAATCCACATTTCGCCTACTCCTGCAATTGAAAGCCTACCGGACGATGTCGTCCGTTGTATCTACGAATCTACTTCTTATCGCCAATAGGCAAACATCAGACCCAACTCTGCAACTTTTCCCAAGTCCTAGGACTTCTGTGGCGAACTTCTGTGTGGCTTTGTCGGGTCACCCGCGCCCCCGCACTGCTCTTTTTCTCCTCCGTCAGAGTCGGCTGAAGGCAGCGGCGCGACGCCGAGCTTCTGGGTCGGAGGGCCTTGGCAGCGCTATGACAAAGAATCGAAGGGGTGCGACGAGCTGGCACCGACAGGAATAACATCCGCAGTGCAAACTCTAAAGCTCTCGGCACAGAGCCACAGACAAGTGACAAAAAATGAGGTGCAGTGGAATGAGCCGTTCTAAGCCTCGGGCCCTTTGCCCCCACCACCGAACGGTTGCGCGCGGCTGCAATGGTGGTCTGCCAGGTCTTGGAGGTACTCCTGCTCAAGGTCTTGCAGATCCACAGGATATAAACACGACTGTTGTACATACATATATATATATATATATATGCAGGAGTTTACTGCTACTAATGACCCTACGGGTGGTAGTATGACTATTGCGATCACCGTAACTATTAACCTTGCTGCTGATACAGCGTTCTCTGATTACTACGGTAAGTCTTGCTACCACTATTGCCATTTCCGTTACTACGGCTGCAAGGGCCCATTTCGAAGGTTCCGTCCACAAACTCTCTCCGACTCTCAGCTGCTGTCCTCCAGGTCCTCTGCCAGGTGATGTATGGCATCGCCCTGCAGCTCCGAAATTCCGTGTTGGGCATGACAGGATGAACCCACGCAATGTGAGGCCTTGCACGAAATCGAGCTGAGGTGTGCCGACCAGTCGTGGTATTGCGTCAATGACACTATACTTGGCGGAACACTCCGCAAGAGACAGTCGTTCGTATTCCTCCGTCCTTTCCATGCGGCTCAAATGCAGAGGGTTTAAGAGTATAGGGACACCAATGTCAAGCACAATCAATGGAATGCGAATATGCACTCAAGCCTTAGCCTTCCTGAGGAAACATTCGAACGAACTGCCGGAAGCATCGAAACCTTTATTTCTCTGGGACCCCTAAACCATAAACCCTAAACCCAAAACCGAAAGGTTTGCCGAACCGGCTCACTTCCGCCAACTTACACCTTCAAAAGGCCGCTACGAGTAGTTACACTGTCTGCTTTTTGTAAATATAACCCTAGGATTCAGGTGTGACTAGCTTGAAGCAAGCAGTGCCGGAACGCCAGCAAGTCAAATGAACCATGATCCCTAAACCCCAACACCTTAAAGAAACCCAAGGCAGAAATTTTACGGACCTGTGCAGGACCATGATAAAGCACCGACAGACACCTTCAAGCCCTAAACCCTCAACCCTGAAGGGCCGTGAAAGTTGCTGGCGCATCAGGGGAAGCGAAACGCAGAACGCGCCCCACGCGGCTGGACACGCAAAGCCTTTGCAGCGAAGGCGGCTTAAGTACAGCACGAATGTTAATAGTAAACATTAGCATCGGTATTGGTGTTCATTCTACTATTTGTTGTACTACTACTACTACTACTACTACTACTACTACGACGTACACTAGCTACTTCCAGTCCCGCCACCAGTTGTAATGGTAGCAGTAGCAGCCAAAAATAGCAGCAATAGTGGTAGTAGCAGTAGTAGTAGTAGTAGTAGTAGTAGTAGTAGTAGTAGTACTAGTAGTAGTAGTAGTACTAGTACTAGTACTAGTACTAGTGGTAGTAGTAGTAGTAGTAGTAGTAGCAGTAGTAATA